GGTCTTGGTCCAGAGTTTCTCTTTCATGTGGGATCTCCATCTTCTGTTGATTCCCCTTTGCACCCCATTCATTTTTATACCACTTTCCCACAAAAGCTTGTCTAGAGATGTAATACTAATTACACAGAAATCCAGCATCATTCTTTAATGAATACAGACTTCATTGCATGTATATCTATTGCTTTAGCTACTTCGATTTCTATTTTTATTGCAAAGATCTATGCAAATAAAAGAATATCAAAAGGTATGGCTATAAATGTGCTCTGCTAAATTCCCGGTGCCTTGAAATGCCTGTGAACTTGTGCTACAAAATGCCTGCTGCATTTTAATGCCTTTCTTGCAGAGCAACATGATATGGTAGGAATCACACTGGTCCTGAAGTCACACAACTGCTGGTCTACCATCCACCAAGTATGCTACATAACTGCTTTGAGCCTCGGTACAGGCATCTGTGAAATGTCACTGACTATGTCATCCTTACAAATTTGATTGAGGATTAAAGGAGATGATGTATGTAAAGCATAAATATTATACTTAGGGCATCATAGAAGCTTAATACATGTTAGTTTCTTTTCTCCAGCCTGCAGCACTAATGGGAGGAGACCATGGCATACACAAATGAACACTCTGCGTAAAATGTACTTCGGCTGAGGTCATCATAAATTAGGAGCGTATGAAGAATAAGAAGAATCAGGGTAGATTTCACAGGAGCAGATAATGCCTTACTGGGATGTTTATTGCATAAGGAAATATATTACTATAGGTTTACTGCATTTGGGAATATATTACCATAGGTGGCTATGAAGAAAATGACATGGTTTCTGAACTCCTTGACAACTGTAAACTCTGTCCAGCTCTAAAGTGTACTAAAAAGAGCCTGCTTAACTATACATCTGCCTTTAAAGGCATAAGCAGTATAATGTACAAGAAATCACTACAACATAAATCGTGTTTTGCTATGCTGCTTGCATTAATGTTACATAAAATGTCAGCACATTGAAAGTGCAGGAGCAGCACTGATTATCTACATATGAATACAGGTGGAATAGGGACTTTTTCGGTGAGCGTGGCCAACCTTTACTTCATCCAGGGAACGAATAATATAGAAAGGCTAATCTTCTAAGTAGGAACTTGGAGGCGGGGTTATTGATACTCTGGCTGCTTTTATACAGTTGCAAGACTATTGGTGTGATATCATAATCTAATGAAACTTCTGAAGCTATTATGCAAAAGGTTCCTCAGCATCAAAAGATGCTTCAGAATCTCTCGGTAGATTGGTAGTGGCTTTCTGAAGTTCTGAGTTGAGAAGAATTCTAAGGCCATGTCTAGGTTCGTCAGGAAGGAAAGCTGTAATTGATTGCCTAGGTCCTTAGGTCCGCTCTGGGCAGGAAGTGGAAGGAGTAAAAGCCTGTATCAGTGTATTTGTTATGCAAGTGGTGCATATGTTATAGCTATTATAATTATTGCTGCTATTATAACAAAGGTGTTTTTATATTCCTCTTCGAATTTCTACATCTTCAACACAAAATGGCATCAATTAACTGCTTTCGTCACAATAGCTGTGCGTGTCATTTTTATTGACTTGATGGTAAATGTGTACTACCTGTGGAAAAGAGCTGAAAAATGAAATCAGAATTTGATCTTCCTCATTTTATTATATTAAATGCTTAATAAAATTAAGGGGAAAAGTCTGATACAGCTACTTAGGGCAGGATGAGGGTTGAAGAAAAAAAAAAGAGGGAGAGAGAGAGAGAAGGGTGAGATGCAGTCCTGGGTTATTATGAAAGGTTTGCACCATTTCCTTTAAAATATTCACACAAGGGAGAAGATACAGCGTGTTCTGCACTTATATGGTCCATGACTTTCTAGACTTTTTCCCTGTTTTTTCTCTGAAGCCAGATTTCTTTTCTGGGTAAATAGTCATGTTCCTGTCAGCCACAGGGGATTTTCTGAATCCTAAACAGCTGATTTTGTATTCCTGCCCCATTCCCTTTATTTGAGGACTAAAATCTGATCAAACCCATATTTTTTTTATTTTTAAATTTATGTATTTATAGACATATGGGAGAATAGTTTATAGTCTGAGTATGATTTTCCATCACAAATGTAGGAAAATTGGGGGGAGTTTTAAAACAGGGTCTTATCAATTTTTCCCCCCTTATTACTGATGACTTCATCCTGCTTGAATTCAGCGCTTCAATTTCTTTGGGTAAACTAATAGATTATGTATGCAATGTTTTCACCGTGTTGATTGAACTCATCTGGTGAGTTAGAGCATGGCTCACACATTCACATCATTGGCAGAACCCTGTGCAGTGCACGCGGGCACGGGAGTCAGCTCACAGTACTCAAGAGGAGGGGAAACTGGTCCACATAGAGCTAGCCCACCTTGCCTGCCTTCTCACTGTTCGGAAAAGCATATCAGACATTCCTTTGTATTATTGTTGTTATTGTCTTTTTCAAATGTTCAGAACCTTTTTTAAGTTTGTTTGTTTTTTGAGTTGACACACGTTACTTTAGTTTCAGGTGTGCACCATAGTGATCTGCTGTGCTCCCCACAGGGGTGGCGACCATCTGTCACCACACAACGTGGTTCTGGTACTCTGGTACTCTTGACTCTATTCCCGATGCTGCACCTTTCGTCCCCATGACTTACTCATTCCAGAACTGGATGCCTGTACCTCCCTCTCCCCTTCACCCATGTTGCTCTTCTGTTTCCTCCCTCCACCTCTGGCCACCACCAGCATGTTCTCTGTATTTACGAGTCTCATTTGTGCATTTTTGTTTAGAAACCTTCTACTTTAAAAAAAAAAAAAGCATAGTGGAGAAACGGAACTATCTGGAGAGTTTTTAAATGCAGATTGGAGAAAAATAAAGATACGTTATACCCAAGGGTTTGTCTTTTCTTAATAAAAAGCCTTGGCTACCGGGTGTCTATAGAGTGATGTAGGAAGCCCAGAACCCCATGTGAACTTTGTAGAGATATTGTGAGACGCCACCGATTCGCTGTGAATCCAGTTTGGGAAGAATGCTTTTCTGCCACAAGATGTCCACTCACCCTTTTCTTTTTACGGTTTACATGTATCATTTCAAAAACATTTTTTAACAAAATAGTAGATGACTTCTGTTGCTTTCAGACATCTCCTTTAATGAGATGTCTCATTTAAACTTAAATCTCCACTGTAATATGCGGGGATCTTCTCTCAGGCACAGCTCTTCAAGGTGGGTCTCTTCCTCCCTTTCACCACCTCGCCTGTTCCTCTTCCCCGTACTCTGTATACTAGAAGGGTGATCCTCAGACCCATCAAACACAAGTGTCCTTATGGCAAAAACACGTTGCTATGAATTGAGTGAAAGTACCAAAATTTGCAAGTGATGTGCTTCTGTCATTTATTAGAGTAAATTCAAAATGTCCCTAAAGGGGTGCCTGGGTGGCGCAGTCGGTTGAGCGTCCGACTTCAGCCAGGTCACGATCTCGCGGTCCGTGGGTTCGTGCCCCGCGTCAGGCTCTGGGCTGATGGCTCGGAGCCTGGAGCCTGTTTCCGATTCTGTGTCTCCCTCTCTCTCTCTGCCCCTCCCCTGTTCACGCTCTGTCTCTCTCTGTCCCAAAAATAAATTTAAAAAAACATTGAAAAAAAAATTAAAAAAAAAAAAAGTCCCTAAAGTCACCACTACTCATTTGTATTCTAACTTGTTTCCTAAAGGAGAAGGGGAGAGGAGTGTGTTTTGCCCACGGTGTATGTGAGCCAGGGCAAAAGAAGTTGAGGACCACTGCTGGCCCAGACTGACTTCTTTGCATGCCCCCAAAGCAAGATGCTTCCTCATTCTGTCCTTTGCGCTTCCCTTCCCTCCACCTGCAATTTCCCCACATCCCTTGTGTAGCTGTTGAGCACCTATGTGTCCCTCAAGACTCAGCTAAGGTGTCGCCTCCTCTGTGGAGCTTTCCGTAGGCTTCTTCCATGACCCTGCCCTCCCCCAATCAGCTTACGCAGCCTTTGTCACTACAGTCCCTTTTGGGACTGCTATTGTAGCACCTGGCTTGTAGTCTTCTGTATCCTTTTCAGTCCCCTGCCTCCCAGACCATGTGTTTTTTGCAGACAACGGCTATGAACTGTTTGTTTTCATGTCCCCCCTGGATCTTAACATAGGGTCTGGCACAGTAGGACACTCAGTTATGCCTCAGATGAACCAGAGAAGTTGAACAATTGTTGAAATCTGCCTACCGTTCCCCTCTTGCTTCCCAGCCCTGAAATGCATCACATGATTTTGTTCTGTTGAAATGATCATGACAAATCCAAGTTAAAAGGGAGCTACTGGCTGAACAGTTTGGGGTTGCATGGATGAGAACTGGAGAAATGGAAATTCCTAAGAGAAAAAAGTGACTGAAATGGGGAGGGGAATCGTGGACAAGTAATGAAGAAGGCACAGTCTACTGTCACCTGTTTTTTGTCTATTTTTCTTTTTATGTCTTGATATGGCTTCTCCCTTCTCTGCTTTCCCTATGTCCTGTGTGCCCATATACTGACACGGATCCTACCCCCCACGCAAAAACTCATCAGTGTCATTGAAATGAAGACCAGCACATGCCAACTCTGTGTCACATCCAATATTCGGGTCAAACAACTGGCCTCAGATTGGCAACTTCTTATTTGAGAAAATGAAATACCTACTTTCAAATTAACCAAACTCTGTGGATATGATTATAAGAAAAAAGTGATAGCTCTTTTAATTGCCCTTAAGGTCAGGACCTTATCTTACCTTTTCACTCAAAAGGCATTTATTCATCCCAAGTCAGATGTTTTGACCCTTAGAGCTAAATGTATTTACATAAAGACCATTTTTGTTCGCTTTTATTACCGATTTTACAGTTTTCCTAGCATATTTGAATTACATTATTGAATCTTCTAAATTTGGATGCTAGCTCCTTTACCAAGATCAAAAAGTGAGTGTCCAGGATGATGCACACCGGGTGACCGTGTTTGTTTGATTATGTCCTCTAGTGGCCGTCCTCCAAGCGGAAGCACTGATCGAATCCAGAAGTTGCGGAAAGAGTATTATCAGGCACGGAGGGAAGGTTTCACCTTATATGAGGACGACGAGGGAAGAGCAAGGCTAGATTATGACTTTCACTGGGTAAGCCCATGCATGCCTGATTCCAATCATTGAATTCATCTTTACTGAGATCATTGCGAGCAGAACACGGCTAAGAATGTTCTATCCATATCAACTTATATTTAGGTTACTTGAGTTTCACAGATATGAACATTTCCCAAACCACAGCCATCTTGTCCCACAGAAGTTGTTTACATAAATCAAACCACACTAATGCATAGTAGTTTATTTTAATTGCTTTCATATTTACTCTCTGTTGGACTTGTATACCAATGTGTTAGGGTGGAGCAGATGGTCGATATTTTAAAGAAGACAAGGAATCTTTGTCATCATCTACTGAGCCTTAATCTTTGCCTCCCATCTCTTGGGTTTCAGACATCTGGGCAAGCATTAACAGACCATGCACCATAAGCCATCTTTCCTTTGGAAAAGGTTATTAGACATAAATTTCAGAATGGTTCTCTTCAGAGATATCTGTTGTTTGTATGTTGCATCGGAACAATTCATTTTGCTGCTCGCTAAGATACTTTTATTTTGAGATGAGAACAGTCTTAGTATTAGAGGGTTCCCTTTGCCAAACCCTTCAACATTTACAGACTGAAAAGCATATTGTGTCCTCTAAAGAGAGATTCTGTGGGTTTTTCCAGGATAGCACGATTCATTCTCTTGTCTTTTTCAAGAAGGTAAGTCTGCACTGACAAAATACACTTAACTTTTGAATATCCACAAAAATACCAGAGGAGAGTACTTAGAGGTGGATTAAAGTACATGTCACATACTCAGAATAGTGCCTGCCACTGAGCTGGGGTTCAATAAATCTTGGCTCTCGTTACCAGTGTTATTGGGGCAGAGCTGTACGTGGTAATAGTGATGTCCTTGCGTGATGTCAGCTCTCACTCACCCTATTTGATGGTTACTGCCTTCTACTATGGTTTTTAGTGCTGTTTTGAGAGCCACATAAAGAACTCTCTTATCCCTGGTGGCCACTAAAGACACCAGCTCTTTTGAAGGACAAATCTATTAAAGGAAAGTTTCCTTTCCTGATTTGTACACTCATACTTATGCTCACCAGGTCGGGGTTGGGAGAGTAGAGTCCAGAAACCAAGCTGATTCCCTCTATCTTTCACTCTGGTGCCGTGGCATCCCAGGCGTAGCACCTAGCACTGTTACAGTAGCATTTGAAAGTCAACGGCAGCACCCACCACTGTTGTGCAGAGCAACTGAAACTCCTCGGCCCAGTAGTTTCTTCCTTGTATGATAGGCTTTAAAAACACTAATCAGAAATGCAAATTAAGGATTGGCAGTCTCCTACCAAATGGCTTTGGCCTCTTCCAGAGATAGGCACTTTGTAACTATAGATCAAAACAAATAGCTTTTTATTGGTTTTATTACAGATGTTAGGATTAGACAGAATGGCATTTACAGCGATGGGGCCACTGGTCACCCAGACTGTCACTAACAGAAGAGAAAGATTTCCACAGAAGGACAATTTGAATAATAATTCATTTCAAACTTAATTGAGATCAACATATTAACTTTGATGACGGACCGTATGCATAAGGTTCTGCTCCCTTGATGAAACAAATAATCAAATAAGAGAAGTCATTCTCACCATAAGCAGAACAGAACACCATGTCCAGGGCATCGAAAAGTTCTCCATCTCAACACCACTGTGAATTCCTATGAGCAAAATAAGACAAGTAATTTTAGACCAAGAAGTCCTGGTTGTTTTGACCTTACTTTATAGGATCCCCTTATGTCAAGCTGAAAGGCTGAAGATACTTAACCTTCATGAGACCTGGAGTTTCCCCTGACCTTTACCAATCGTGAAATGGATAACCATCCACTCAGGTCCTCTCTATCTTAATGATTCAATTTTTATTCCAAGCAATGTGGAATTAGACAATCTAGCGAATATAGAAGTATCTCTATTTTAATTTGTGTTTCCCATGCTCAAGTGTATTGAGCTTTGCCAAAAGCGACTGACTTTACGTTTCCCACACAAGTGGGGACTAAGGCTTCCCAAAGGGATGCTTGTGAAATGCACTCTCATAAAAGACTAGTGCTCTTCGGGATCGCCTGAGATATTCCAAACCAGGGATTCAAATCTCAGCGACTTTCCCTTCCATCCCCCCAAGCCAAGGAAAAACACTGGTATCTTTTGTCCAGCACAGGCCAGAGAAATTACACCGTTGTCTTCCTACTTTTGGGTAGATCTAGGAAAGCAAGTTTAGAAAGTTAATATTTCATTCCTGCCGGTCAACCAGACCCAACAAGGCAGCTTTTATTCAGGCTGTGGTTCCTAATCAGTCTGGTCTTTATCGTCAAAGACAGTGCTTGTTAAAATTGGATCATCAGCCCCTGAAAGAGAAGGGTGAGGCCCAAGAGAGGGCTCCCGGGTGCTTCTCCACGTGGTCATCAAGATTTCCGACCCACAATTCTAGAAATAGGACATTGGCAGGGCGCCTGGGTGGCTCAGTAGGTTGAACGGTCTGACTTCGGCTCAGGTCATGATCTTGTAGTTCGTGAGTTCAAGCCCCGTGTTGGGTTCTGTACTGATAGCTTGGAGTCTGCTTTGGATTCTGTGTGTGTGTGTCTCTCTCTCTCTCTGCCCCTCCTCAACTCATGCTCTGTCTCTCTCTAAAAAAATAAATAAACATTAAAAAAAATTTTTTAAATAAGACATTGATTCCAATCACTGCAGTAAGCAAAGTAGTTCACTTTCTCTAACAAAATCATTACATGGACCAGCATCATCAAAAACCACTTTCACGGACTCAGAACTTCCCGGGCCAGCTACCTCAGATTTAGAAGCCTGATAAATATCCCCCGGATCCACACAATACTGGAAAGCTTCTAAACTATTGAGAAGGGAATTACCTAAGAACTAAATAGACCAGAAAGAATAAATAAAGTTCCCTAAAATAAAATACAGAAAAAATAAATTAAGTTGCCTAAGAACTTACTAGACCGGAAAGAATAAAAGTATGTGCCCAAAAGTCTTGAAAGCCAAATTGGTAAAGCAATCGCCGGAAAAGTTATTAGGATCTTTGAATTTTTTTTTTTAATATATTGTTGTTAGCGGTACTCATAATTCTACCTCAAACTTTCTGATTTTCCCAGGCCATCCTATAGGTAGTTCTATGTCCAGTGGCTTGGAGCTGAAGGCTTTCCCCACTGCTCTCTTGAGTTCTCACTTGCTCCCATAGCATTTGCATCTGACTCTCTTTTCTCTCTGTCTCTTGTCCAATTTTAACAAATATTTGCTCTGTCTTAATAGAGGCCAGGTGCCAGTCCCAGAATATATCATCTCTACCTTGGAAGAACTTACAGTCTAGCCAGGAATACAGACATCTAAGGCCAAACCAAAAAAAAAAAAAAAAAGGCCAATAATATATGTGAGTAATTCTGTTGTATAGAGAGGGATTCGCTTCGAAATGAGCTCAGTTATAGCAGTTAATTCTGCTGGAGGCCGGGTGTGCAGCCCAGGGTGCTGGGAATTCTAGAGAGACCACTTAGGAGTCGCCTCAGTGGACGTATTTGGTCCTTTTTGTCTCAAATATGGTGGTTTTCTTTTTCCCAAAGGAGATCCTGATTTATTCACTTCATTTGTGTTAAAAGAAATGAACACACACAGATTGCAAGGTTTGTAAATACGGACATGAGACCTTACAAATCTTTTCAACCAGTCTGTTCTGTAGCTGTTTTCTCATGTAGACTCTGAAAAGCTGTAAAGAACAAGTTGAGAGAATTTCAATGACTGGAAGTGAAATGGCCTGGCGAGTTTTTATAGGCCCAATTAAGTAAGATATGCTAGCTGTGACATGTTCATATTTGCCAAAAGAAAACATAATACCTGTTATCTCCTGGTATTTTATTTTCTGTAAAACTTGTTAAGACAATCACAGTCCTCTGGCAATAAGCTGGGGTATTTCTTATTAGCAGATAAAGATTATCTGCTTATTTAATGGCAGCATGAATATCCTGTAAGTAATTTCAGAAATGGGATGGCTCCAGAGTTTTCTAAAAAATATTAGTACCTTTATTATTGTCTTTTTTTTCAAGAGCTGAGTGGCAAATACTATACACGTCCTCCTCTTTTTAACTCTCTGGCTAAAATAAGAATTTTTATCCAAGAAAGGGGTTTGTAAACATTTAGATGGGAGGAGGTACTATTTTCCACTGTCATAAAGTAGATGGTACTGTATGTATCTTTTTGGCAAAGGGGATTGGTTCAGGTGATGGTTGGGTGAATAAAGGAAAACACTGGAAGATCTGTGCACCCTATCATGAGGATGGTCTAGGAGCGAACTTGAACAAACATGGTTGGCAGCTGTGTAGACGAGAAAGATACATCCGATGAATTCTGCAGTCAGAGGAAAGGGAGAGCAAGATGCTGGGATCCTGCTAGCCATCTTAGGAAAGGGATTTAAGATGGAACCTGTAATAGCCATGGAGTGTAAAAACTATCAGAAGGTTATTTTCTAAATATTTGGGATAAAAGAAATGAGGTCCTGCTGCCAATGGTCCAAAACCAGAATTGAGTTGTCCGTATTTTCCATCTCTGCACCTTAACGGCATCCGAAAAAAAGCTAAGGACACCAGTGAAAATTTCTGGATTAGTCAATGGCATTTAAGTCACAAAGAACAGGAATCTAATTTAAACTGGCCTAAGCGAAAAGGGAAGTTTTGTTGGCTTATATAACTTTAAATTCCATAGGTGTATCTGACCTCAGGCAAAGCTGGATCCGGTTCCATTGTTATTCTCTCTGTAGGCAGGATTCTTAGGGAGCTCCCTAAGAGCTCCAACCCAACAACTTTATAAAAGAAGATTGTCGGGGCACCTGGGTGGCGCAGTCGGTTAAGCGTCCGACTTCAGCCAGGTCACATCTCGCGGTCCGTGAGTTCGAGCCCCACGTCGGGCCCTGGGCTGATGGCTCGGATCCTGGAGCCTGTTTCCGATTCTGTGTCTCCCTCTCTCTCTGCCCCTCCCGCGTTCATGCTCTGTCTCTCTCTGTCCC